CCCCTTTGGATCACTACCTTTGTATCTTTGGGGTTAATACCCCGTAGTGCAATTGCTGGGTCGTAGGGTAAGAGCTGCACAGTTTTAACTCTTATACTTGTAAAGAAGAGATCTAATTTCACACTTTTACATATAGATATCCAGTTGTCCCAGCACCAGTTTGTTGAAAAGACAGTTCTTTCCCCATTGAATTGTCTTGACATCCTTGTCAAACAACAACTGACCATAAATGTAGAGGCTTATTTTTGGACTATCAGTTCTATTCCATTGATTCTATTCCATCTGTCTTTATGCCATTACCACATTATCTTGATTACTGAAGCTTTTTGTAAGTTTTGAAATCAAGAAGTGTTAATACTCCTATTTTTTTTTCAAGATTGTTTTGGTCATTCCAGGTCTTTATTTTTTCATATGAATTTTAGGATCAGCTTGTCAATTTCTGCAAGAAAGTAATCTGAGATTTTGATAGGGAGTGGATTGAATCTGTAGATCATTTGGGGGAGTACTGTCATCTTAACAATATCAAGGCTTCCAATCCATGAACATGTGATGTTTTTCCATTTATTTAGATGTTTTAAAACTTTTTTCATTAATGTCTTACTGTTTTCAGTGTATAAGGCTTGCATATCTTTTGCTCAATTTATTCCTAAGTATTTTATTCTTTTTGATGTTACTTGTCATATCTGTTATTAAATTATGCTAATAAAATAAGCTGAAAGGTATTCTCATATTTTTCCTAAGCTCTGCAATATTTTGTATTAGGTTGGAATTATCTGTTCTTTGAATATTTGGTAGAAGATGGGGGTAAAACCATCTCAACCTAGTGTCGTTTTCTTTGTCAGGAGGTTTTAAACTAATTTCTTTAATCACTACAGAATGATTCAGGCTTTCTATTTTTTCTTTAGGTGGGTGTGGCAAATTTATTTTTTTCTAAAAATTCATCTAAGTTTTAAGACTTATTCGCATAAGGCTGTTCATAAGTTCTTCTTGTTATGTTTTAAATCTCTTAACCACCTTTCGTTAAGTCCTCCCTTTTATTCTGAGTATTGTTTATAATGCCTTCTTTCTATTTCTCTTTTCTTGTTCATTCATGCAAGAACTTTATGATTTTTATTAATTTTTTAAAAAACCCAACTTCTTTTGGATTTTTTTTTTTTGCTTTTCTTGTGTGCGTGCGTGTGTGTGTGTGAGGTTCTGTACAAATTTTAGGATTGTTTGTTCTATTTCTGTGAAGAACGCCATTGGAATTTTGATAAGGATTGCACTGAATCTGTAGGATGCTTTGGGTAGTATGAACATTTAAGCAATATTCCAATCCAAGAGCATGGAATATCTTTCTATTTATTTGTGTCATTTTTTTTCCATCAGTATCCTATAGTTTTTATGTATAGGTCTTTTACCTCCTTGGTTATATTTATTCCTAGGTATTTTATTCTTTCTGATACAATTACAAATGGGATTATTTTCTTAAAATCTTTTTCTGATAGCTCACTATCAGCTCACTATTTGTATCCTGCAATTTTCCTGAATTTGTTTATTAATTCTAACAGTTTTTTGGTAGAGTCTTTAGGGTTTTCTATATGTATTACCATGTCATTTGCAAATAGCAACAGTTGCACTTCTTCCTTTCTGATTTGATGCCTTTTATTTCTTTTTCTTGCCTAGGACCCCTTTCTGACTAGGACCTCCAATACTATGTTGAATAAAAATGG